GATGATCCTAAAGGTCTTTTCCAACCTAAATGATTCTATGACTCTATGGTTCTATGAAAAAAAAAGAGAACAGAGCAACCCTACATGATCCTTCTCCTGTATTCTCTCAACTTGTGACTCCTTACAACTCAGAGGATTTCCTGAATCTAGTATGTTCTGTCTGTTTAGTAACCTTCAACTGATGTCTCTTTCAAGCACTTTCCCAGCCTTCCCTTGAATACAGGTAAAATTTTGCATCTGCAAGATCTGTTAAGGAGTTCCACAGGTTTACTACCTATTGCAGCAACTGCCTCCTTTTGTTTGCTTTGAATCCCACTAGCTTCGCTTAATAGGTCTAGTTCTTCTATCGGCTCCATCCCTCAGTACCAGTATGCCACTACGGTAACATCTTGGACCAGTGAGCTGGAAAGGCGCTGCCATTTTTTTCCAAGGGGTGCCTAATAGAGGTGTTATTTTCTAATAGAGAAGAGCAAGGCTCATGAACCTTGAGTGTTCTTCCTAATCTGTGTCTTGGGAGAGTCCCTGTAACTGTCTACCTGTTTCCCACCTGTTCAATCATGAGGATTTTAATTTTTTTTTTCCTGCTTTGAGACAGACTGATGAGGAGCACTTACAATATAAGTAATAACCTGTGTGTTATGGTTCTAGGGTGAAATTCTTGAACATAACCTAGAAAGAGACAAGCAGGCTAACCCCAGAAGAGCAGCAGGCCTGGTTAGTAGGGTACTCGCTTGCGACTATGGGAGACATAGGCTCAAGTCCCTTTCCAAAGAAAGGCTCTTCTATCATGGAAGTGTCCTAACCACTAGGTAATAGGGAATTCTCTAGAAGAGCCTGTCTTGCTTTTTCTGCTTCCCCTTTTCTTTCTGAAAACACCCCGTACTAGGAAAGTTCCTGCAATCTCACAAAGTATCAGAAGCCCAGAAAAGTAGTCATCACCCCATAAACATACTATCTGATTAGCGATCAGACTTTTGCTCTGGAAGAACCAACCACTTGCTTTTCCCTTCTGCCCTACTAGCGGGTGCGATGCACTGTCTCTGTTGTGTCTGGTGCACTAGGTGGCAATAGAGAGTCACCACTGTCCCTACCCGCGCCAGAGGAAGCCACAGGCGAGCAAAATTATAAACCTAGAGGTTACAAATCTCAAGTCGTCACTAAGTTTTTAACAGCATAACACTAGAAATATTTTTTTGTACCTGAAGTCTATTATGAGACTCATGGCAACAAACTCGCAGCAAGTACCGGTGCTCCCGTATTTAACCACAGGGAGAAGAAGCCTGAGCATGCAGAAAAACCGGAGGCTTTCCTCACTGGGTTATATTCATACCTAGCTGCCAAGCATGCCAAAATCATGATCTCAAAAACATATTTATCAACAGTGCAACTTAGGTGCCTCTTTTCAGCAAGACTATGTTGACACCTGAGAGCTACACCTTACAAGTCTAAAATTCAGCTCCTGCAAATGTAACTTCCAGCACCAACTCATAGTTGCAGATGTAGGGCCAAGAAACAAGTCTATCCCAGTCCAGCAGTCTGCAAGTCACTAAACCACAATCTCAAGCTCCTTTTTACATGCTGAGCTTGTATTCCTGTGAATCCTGCATTCTTTGTGTTGCAGCACAGCTTGACAAAAGGGTGTACAGAGCATTCCCCACTAAACAATCCCACAATGGGGTGTCTGTATTGTTTCATCATAAAATTAAAAGTTCCTCTTCTCATCTTCTACATAACAGCATAGTGCTTTCATCCAGAAAGTGCATGACTAAGGTTTAAACCCTATTTAGTCTGGATTCCAGACTTTTCTGTGAAAACGCAGGCATCTAACTTTCAGGGTGTCTAGACCTGGATTTCTTCTGAACAGAAAGCTCTCCCAAAGCCTTTGGGTAGCTGCATTATAAAAGGATAACTGCCACAGTAAACAGTCTCCTTCTGCTCTGCATATAGCACAGTCCTGAAGGGCTTCCTGTCCAGGAAGGCTGGGAATTCTTCAAGAAGGAAATCTTAAAGGTGCAGGAGCAGGCTGTCCCCATGTGCTGAAAGATGAACCAATGGGGGAGAGGACCAGCCTGGCTGAACAGAGAGATTTTGCTGGAACTCAGGGAAAAAAAGAGGGTTATGACCTTTGGAAGAATAGGTAGGCAACTCAGGACGACTACAAGGATGTTGTGAGGTTATGCAGGGAGAAAATTAGAAGAGCCAAAGCCCAGCTAGAATCTAATCTTGCTCCTGCCATAAAAGACAATAAAAAATGTTTCTATAAATACATCAGCAACAAAAGGAGGGCTAAGGAGAATCTCCATCCTTTATTGCGGTGGGAAACATTGTGCCAAAGGATGTGGAAAAGGCTGAAGTACTTAATGGCTTCTTTGCCTCAATCTTTAATAGTAAGACCAGTTGTCCTCCAGGTACCCAGCCCCCTGAGCTGGAAGGCAGAGACAGGGAACAGAATGAAGCCCCCTTAATTCAAGGAGAAATGGTTGGCAATGTGCTACACCACTTAGACACACACAAGTCTATGGGGCTGGATGGGATCCACCCAAGAGTACTGAGGGAGCTGTTGGAAGTGCTCACCAAGCCACTTTCCATCATTTATCAGCAGTCCTGGCTAACCGGGGAGTTCCCAGTTGACTGGAGGTTAGCAAATGTGACACCCACCTACAAGGAGAGACAGAAGGAGGATCCGGGGAACTATAGGCTTGTCAGTCTGACCTTGGTGCCAGGGAAGATTATGGAGCGATTCATCTTGAGTGCCATCACACAGCACGTACAGGATAACCAGGTGATCAGGCCCAGTTAGCATGGGTTTATGAAAGGCAGGTCCTGATTGACCAATCTGATCTCCTTCCATGACAAAGTGACCCACTTAGTGGAGGAGGGAAAGGTTGTGAATGTTGTCCACCCAGACTTTAGTAAAGCCATTGTCACCATTTCCCACAGCATTATCCTGGAAGAACTAGCTGCTCATGGCTTTGACAGGCGTCTTTTTGCTGGGTAAAAAACTGGCCGGATGGCCAGGCCCAAATAGTTGTGGTGAATGGAGTTAAATCCAGTTGGTGGCCAGTCACAAGTGGTGTTCCCCAGGGCTCAGTATCGGGACTAGTTCTGTTTAATATCTTTATCAATGATCTGGATGAGGGGGTCAATGCACCCTCAGTAAGTTTGCAGATGGCACCAAGTTGGGCAGGAGTGTTGACCTGCTTGAGAGTAGGATGGCCCTGCAGAGGGATCTGGAGAGGCTGGATCGATGGGCTGAGGCCAATTGTATGAGGCTGTTGTAGTTTAACTCCTGTCGGTAGCTAAGCACCACACAGCCGCTCACTCACCCTCCCTCCTGGTGGGATGGGGAGAGAGTCAGGAAAAAAAACCCCAGACCTGTGCGTTGAGATAAAGACAGTTTAATAGCACAGCAGAGGAAGAGAAAATAATAATAATAATAATGACAAAAGAATATGCAAAACAAGTGATGCACAATACAATTTCTCACCACCAACTGATGGATACCCAGCCCATCCCCAAGCAGCGATTGCTGCCCCCTGGCCAAATCCCTCCAGCTTATATACTGAGCATGATGTCATATGGTATGGAATAGCCCTTTAAAAAAAAATGCGCGGGCTGTGCCCCCTCCCAGCTTCTTGTGCACCTGGCAGAGCATGGGAAGCTGAAAAGTCCTTGGCTAGTGTCAGCACTACTTAGCAACAACTAAAAACTTCAGTGTGTTATCGACATTATTCTTATGCTAAATCCAAAACACAGCACTATGCCAGCTACTAGGAAAAAAATTAACTCTGTCTCAGGTGAAACCAGGTCAGAGGTTCAACAAGGCCAAGTGCCGGGTCCTGCACTTGGGTCATAGCAACCCCATGCAATGCTACAGGCTTGGGGAAGAGTGGCTGGAAAGATGCCTGGCAGAGAAGGAATATGAGCCAGCAGTGTGCCCAGGTGGCCAAGAAGGCCAACAGCATCCTGGCTTGTATCAGGAATAGTGTGGCCAGCAGGAGCAGGGAGGTGATTGTCCCCCTGTACTCGGCACTGGTGAGGTCACACCTGGAATACTGTGTCCAGTTTTGGGCCCCTCACTACAAGAAAGACATTGAGGTGCTGGAGCGTGTCCAGAGAAGGGCAACAAGGCTGGTGAAGGGTCTGGAGCACAGGCCTTATGAGGAGCGGCTGAGGGAACTGGGATTGTTTAGCCTGGAGAAGAGGAGGCTGAGGGGAGACCTTATTGCTTTCTACAACTACCTGAAAGGAGGTTGTAGTGAGGTGGGTGTTGGTCTCTTCTCCCACGTGGCTAGTGATAGGACAAGAGGAAATGGCCTCAAATTGCACCAGGGGAGGTTTAGATTAGATATTAGGAAAAATTTCTTCATGGAAAGGGTAGTCAAGCATTGGAAGAGGCTTCCCAGGGAAGTGGTGGAGTCACCATCTCTGGAGGTATTTAAAAGGCGTGTAGATGTGGTGCTTAGGGACATGGTTTAGTTGTGGACTTGGCAGTGTTAGGTTAATGGTTGGGCTCGGTGATCTTAAAGGTTCTTTCCAACCTAAATGATTCTGTGATTCCATGATTCTATGATTCTTTTCCCAGTGATTGTAGAGAATATTCCTTATACATACCATAGGATAATTATACTCAGCAAATATTTTAAAGTTTCATAGAACATATGCTTCCTAAAAAGAAATAACCTGAATGTTCCACAGATCAAGGACCAGCTTTGATTCATTGTCTATGTTATATTTTTGCTAAAGTCTCTAAAATACTGTGGTTCTAGTGAAAATACATTGCCTGTCCATTTCCATTACATCACGATCTGCAGTATATCCCACTAATATCAGAAATCATGAAACATAACTACAAAGGAGTGTATCACCACTTTTAAACTGTCATATTCAAAGAAAACAAAAACCCATCTGGCACTTGTTTGGAGCATTATGTTAAACATTCTCTTAGTAACACCTGTTGAACATTATACTAGGTTAAAATGTCTCGATTAATCAAAGATTACCTTAGGTCTTGGCTTGCAGTGTCACAGGCAATTCAAATGTCAATGTGTGAAAGACAATTCTCTGTTCCACCTGCTGCCAGTGTCCACTTCTGGTGGCTTCATTC